TTAAAATCAGAGCAAATTTGCACTCACAAAGCAAACTCATGCAGGATTTTCAGAAGAATTCAAAAGTGGGAGCAATATTCCCTTTAGTAGGAAAAAAAGTTTTCAATGCAGAAGGAGAGACTGTGGATTTTATTTCCTCCGCTCTGCTTGTCAACCTTCACCACCCACCAAGACATCTAGGGGAATTTTACTTGACTTCCTTGTTGTTCTCCTATATGTGTGTCCCCTGCAATGGTCCCAGGCAAGTGTCTCACCTTTCTCCAGGGCCTAGTAGTGTCATAGACACAACAGTCATAGAGTATTGAGCCAAAATGGGAATCTTTAAATTCCCATTCTAAATGCCACTACAGTAGATCCTAGCTACTCAAGGAAATTGGTAGTCTTTATTTTGTGATTGGCACTGTTCTGTCTTCTCTAAGATTTCCACTTAATTTTGAAAGCATCTGCTCATTTACAGTCTCCAGTAAAGTACTCTTCCTAAAATGTGAAGTAAACTATACACTTAACTGTTCTGAGAGCTTAGAATTTATTAAAACAAAGTTCATTCTCTGTATGTGTGTATCCTGTGTCCAGGATTAGGTATTTATGCCGTTTTAATGGCAATAGAGTAAAATGGACCAGTGCTGTTAAATGATGATGCCAATAAAATGGTCTTTATAGTACTATCATCTGAGTAGTATGGACCTGATAGAAATCAAGAGACTGTTTCCACAGATTTCAGTGGGCTTTCAATCACACCTTAAGTAGAAGTGGTTCTGATTTGATACAAACACTTATTTTCCCCAGAGTTCAGGAATAAAAGGCTTCAGTGTTTTGGTCCACTTCTGATAGTACCTTCCTCCTCCCGAAGACAATATATAAGAATGAAGCCTCACTTTCTCCACAGATGTTCTACCGTATGTAAGAATCTATTCCCCTCTTCCTGAAGCATATCATAGTTTCTTCTCATCTCAAGGAGAGCTCAGCCTAAGTGTTCCTGGTCCAAGGCCCCCATGCAGAAAAGGACCTTCCATGGTATTCACTTTCACAACAGTATCATATCAGAAGGATCCAGCAGAACTCAGTAGAATTTCTCTATAACTATGTGCAAGCAAACAACCCCTTAGCTTTTGTGCCTCCCGTTTTCTTCCTAAGAGGAGTTGGGGAGGTTTACAGCTGACAGTAGCAATAGAGTTTGCTACTTTGGAGACTCATTTTAAAGTTCTCTGGGAAGACCTGAATTGTCCTTTGTCACATCCCTAATAGGAGGCCTTAAAATGAAGGAAGGAAAGAGGTGAGGAAGGTCACCATCTTAGTGCACTTTACTCAAGGGAATCTCTGAGGCCGTTATGATTTATGATATTTTGTACATTCATCAGTGGCTCTTCAAAGACCCAAAGGGCAGTTAAGCATCCAGCTCCTTTTTGTGTCTCTGAAAATCATAACTTATATGCTAGATAGACCGTGCATGGAGTAAGTAGGAATATTTCATATCTACAAAAGCAATTACTTTACAAACCTGAGTGGCCCCTGCCATAGCCCCCCACACTTACAAGTAAATAATATATGCCCTAGGTTTGTAATGTAGGAATGCATGCATGTACAGGTGAGCTCCAGCGCAGCACTGACAACAGAAGGAACAATTCTGGATGCAGACCATTGTCAAAACCAGGCTCAGCATGTGTGTGTGTTTGCCTGTTCCTGTGGTCCATGGTTACATACACGAGTATTTTTAAAACCCTATTGCTACATGTGCTTTTTTCACTCAAGCTGCTAATCAATATAGGCTAAACTTATACAGCAGAAAAACCTCTTCCCTCCGTCTCTCTATTATTGGACTGAAAGATTTTTTATAGGACATTTCCATCCTAAGGGAATTTTACATCAGGCTTATAAACCCCTGAAAATAAAAGCTTTGTTACTGTAATGCTGGCAAGCTCTTAACTGTAGCGGTACTAGCAGGAGCCACTCTAATATAGGGTCCAGAATAGCGATGTAGTCTAGCACCGTCCTTGGACAACTGCTTGCATTTACAGAAATTGATGTGTTATTGTGCTGAAAACTTTTCACCTAAGAAGTCTGAGGAATGAGGTGAAGAACAATAGAGATGTCGCACTGGGAGAATGGCTTCACTACACGCAGGATTGCACAACACTTTGAAATCTTCCACCATCCCAGTCCCATGCTGTCTCCAGCTTGGCAAACGCTTTCATTTAGCTAGGGATCAGTAGCTTGAGGGGGAAAAAAAAGTTCTGTTCTCCAGCTGCTGTGTCATTTCCCTTGATAAGTCCTAAATTGACCGAGTTATCCAGCACCAAAGGAGCTTTCCTGTGGTAGACATCCTTTATTATGTGCCCTTTCAGGGACAAAGGCGTCTGTGTCAGTAAACTGCTATGGAGAGGAAAGATTTATTCTCACAGCATCATAAGCATTATCTTCTGAGGGTCTAATGTGCAAGTAAAAAATTGTGCAGCATTACCATCTGAAACGCAATGTCTCATGTTGCAAATACACTGCTCTTCGATTATCAACCTGGTGGGAGGCAGAATGAAAAGCCTGAAAGGCTGCTTCCCAGAAAGGCGTGTTTTAAGAACTGATTTATAAAATGAAGGAATTTTTAAAGGGAGTATTTTGTTTGGGCTTGTTCATTTTCTGGGTAGTTTTGGATGTGTGGATGGTGGTCTGCACTGGGTGTTGTGGAAGAGGGAGGGAAGCTTTGTGAATTTCCTTACTTTCTGTTAATTTTAGGTGAAGTGGAAAGTCTTAATTTCACATTAAAAACCCAGGCAGTTTGTGCCTATGTTTAGCCCTCCCCCACAGACTGCAAATAAATAAACACCAACCCTTCTTGTTTATGTGATAAGAAAGGGAAACTGGGAACAGGATCTGTCAAAATTGGTGGAGATTTTCCAAAGCACAAATGGCAGTGAGGAGCCCAGCTGCACCCACTGACTGAGATGAACTGGACATTTTCAGGAGTTCAGCACCTTTGAAAATCCTTCACCACCACCTGGAGACACTGCAGCCTCGTTAGTGTTTTAGCAGTCTGAACGTGCTTTGTAACACTTCTGACAGGACCAGCCTGTTTCTGTTTGGGAAAGAAGAGAAAGGGACAAGTGTGAAAAAAATCCAGAAAAAAACATTTCGACAATTAAACCTAGTGTAAGCCTACTCCACTCTTATGTGACATGAAGAAATGACACTATTAAAAAAATATTTCAACAGATCCTCAAACAGCCACTGGAGAGGTGGACGGGGTGAATCTGGAGGAAATCCGAGAATTTGCCAAAGCTTTTAAAATCCGGCGCCTCTCCCTTGGCCTGACGCAGACTCAAGTTGGCCAAGCCCTAAGCGCCACTGAAGGCCCAGCCTATAGCCAGTCTGCCATCTGCAGGTAACAAGTTACATCATGAACTCTATTCTCTCTTTGTTCTTAATAATTGTTCACGTTACTGTGAGGAATATGCTTGTGTTTGAGTCATATGTCTTTAGAATGTATTATTTAATCTGGGACTTAAACTAGCCAATAATGTTGGTATCTGGCAGATAAAATGTTCTTATTGTGTGCCCCTAAAGTAACTTTAGTCTTTTTTTCCCTTTCTTCTTTTTTAAACAAGTGAGAAACAATGTTCCTGGCATTTAGACTTAATTCACTAGACGAGCTGGAGACCCCGCTGGTGCTGGATAAGCACCAGCTGACCCTCTTCATACTGTGCCATTTTCTGCAGATAGGGTTACTGAACAAATATTTCATGGCTGCATCCCTGCTAAGTTAAAACCTGTATTACTGTGGTTAGCACTTCACATATAGGATATTAATGATGATTTACCTAGGCAACACAGAAGGGAAAAAATTATCCTTCCTGCTATCTTGCGAGCCAGCAGCTATTCATCTTTTATAACCCAAATGCTTATTAAAAATATATATATAGGCAAAGGAGAAGTAGAAATCTGCCCTAATCATACGAAATGATAATACAGACTTGACAGAGTTAAAGTCAAGTAGTTAGAAGCAAACACCCTGTTTGCATGTGTGTGTGTTACAGTAATCCTATGTTTATGCATGAGGTAACAAACACACTTAGGTAACAGCTTTTTCCTCTTGGGCAATGCCTTATAGTCCTTCTCCATCAGTGAAAGCCAAGAAACCAACTCTAAGCTCATTTAAGTGGATTTTGTTCTTGGTGATCCATGAAATGCTCTGTCTTTTTATCTGCTCTTTATACTTTTAATGTATTCCCCATAGAACGGAAGTGTACTTTTCCTGCAGTTTAAGACTAAGGTTATAAATAACATCAGTATGGGGTAGTGAGCTTGCAGCTCACATTTTGCTCAATGATTTTCCATAAAACCCATTGATTGTTGTTAAATACAAAAAGCTCCATAGGATCCTCTCACTTCTATGGCCTCCCCTACTGTTTTTTCTTATAAGATACCTCCCTGTAGAAAATAACCTTTATTCAGTCTATACAAGGATACTACTGCTGGGAAATTTGTTTCAAGGCTTGTATATCGTTATACCGAACAACACGTACTGCAGCATCAACATTAACAAGCAGTGCCGATGATATGAATGCTATTGCTCCCTGTTGCTAAGGATTAATTTTATTTTTTTCTTCCCTAAGGTCAATTGGTAAAGAGTGCCTGAAACAGGCAGAATTTTTAGCAATTGCCAATTTGTTGTAGCCTTAAGTTGTTGTTTAACATATTACACTTTAAATTGATAAATTGCAGTCTCCTTTGCTTGCGTCTAATTTGTTGCCTTCTCATTTCTTCCACCTACCTTACAGCTGAAAAAACCACTGGGGATGGCTTAAATTTAACTAAGAGAAAGGGTTCCCCACTAGCCTGTTACTAAGAAATCCAGGCAAAGATGAAGTCGGAACACAAATAGAGCTAACAACCAGAATGTGGAGTCCTTCTGTGCAGAGCTCCTTGGAGGAGCCAGTTACTCAGAACATGAGGACCAGGTGTAGAAGCTGGTCTCAAATACTTGCAAAAGGTTGTAGTGTTTTACGTTCTTCAATCCCCAAATGGCTATCATTTGGGAGTGTAATAATCTGCCATGACTGTACATTTCTTGCTAAGCCCCAAGACAAGCTGCTTCAGTGGCAGTATGCTGTTCCTCAGAAAGAGTAGGCTTAACTTTTCTTTTAATGGTGTCAAGGGATTTTCAGTATGAACTCCAGGGTAATGCAAGGGGCAGAAAGATAAGCAAGTTGAATGACCAACTCAGAGGCACGAGCAGAGTCTCCCAGTGCCCTTTGCAGGGCATATCAACAATATACCGCCTTGCTGATGTGTTCTGCCTGCAAAAAAACCCTGCATTTTCTTAACTAGACACAAAACGTTCTAAAATATAAACTGCAGATTGAAATATCACTGGACACCAAAGAAGAACACCTTGCAGTCAAAACCACAATAGGTTTCCAGGCACCAGTAAATTCTTTGGAGTGTTGTTATTTGAAATTATTTCTTTGTCTTGTTCTTTGTTCGTGAGAACTGCATTGTTTCCTGCTGGAATATTTTCTGCTGCTGCCACTCGCTGAATTTAGGCAGTAAATATTGCCAACTCCAGTCACCAAGTTGTTTTGCGGAAAGGCATTGGTTCAGTCTGTCTCATCGTCCAGGCACGTGGTGATGAGCAGCGGCAGAGACGTTTCAGCACTGGGCGGGCTGGATAGGGCAATGTTTGCTGTGCAGTGACTGTTGCCTTTCCACATTAAATACTACAAGGTGCAGGGTGGGCATAGGCGAAGTGAAAAAAATACAAATGGGTGGCATCAGAGGAACTGAATTAAGACTTTTTAAATGCATAGCAAGAGAGGATGAACTTGATAAATGAAAGAGACACGTACTTTAAAAGCTTGAAATATGACTTCAGCTCTTCTGCTTGTTTTTGAAAGGATTAAAGCTTTGTGTAGCTGCTTTTCCAGATGTTTTATAATACTTGTAAAATCTGGTTTGGCAAAAGACTTTTGATGGCAACATGATATATAGAAGACCTAATTTACAGGAAATGATATCATTCTGGTACAGTTTGCAGAAATCTCACAATAAACCCAGCTTGGTGCCACAGCATATTAGTACACTATTATGCTGGGTTTCATCTGGAAAACATGAGTCTGTCTTAGCGCATTGTGGGGGTAGTCAAGATAATTGCAAAGTGTCCAGCTGTTTCAGCTGAACACCACAGTAGCTATGGGAATCTTTTTCCGACCCAGGAAAGGGACATGCTATTAACTTGCAAACAGTGAAAATTGCTGAAAAATGAAAGGAAAGGAAACCTGATGTTCAAAGGCTAGTAGCTGCCATTGGTTTGTATTATTAAAGCTGTGGTGTCTGGACAACATGGGATTGGAGAGGAAACAAAAGGATTAATCACAGAGATGAGATGATTAAAAAAAATTGCCTTTGATGTCATTTCCTGTAATTTGGCTTAGCCTTAAGGGTTTGGAAGGTCGTGAGAAATATGAAAACTGGACTTATAGCCTGTACTATGTAGTGTACTTAGAATTTTGTTGTAGTGTTCATTTTGTGTTGGCTTAGATATCTAGCTATATATATATTTTTATATATACCTATCTGATAGTTTTCGTAATCCATTGTAAATTACCTCTGCCAGTCACTTAGTCAGGCAGGCAGGAAGTCCCACCCTGGCAGAGCATCAGTGTAAGACTCTTCTTTCTCAATTTTCCCTCAGACACACCATCCTGAGAAGCCACTTTTTCCTACCACAGGAAGCCCAAGAGAACACTATAGCTAGCAGTCTGACAGCCAAACTGAACCCTGGCCTTTTGTATCCTGCCAGGTTTGAAAAGCTGGACATCACCCCTAAAAGTGCCCAGAAGATAAAGCCGGTGCTTGAGCGGTGGATGGCTGAGGCTGAGGCCCGCCATCGAGCAGGTATGCAGAACCTTACCGAGTTTATTGGAAGCGAACCATCCAAAAAGCGCAAGCGGCGTACCTCATTCACGCCCCAAGCCCTTGAGATCTTGAATGCCCACTTTGAGAAGAACACGCACCCCTCTGGGCAGGAAATGACAGAGATTGCCGAGAAACTGAACTATGACCGCGAAGTAGTTAGAGTTTGGTTCTGCAATAAGAGGCAAGCACTGAAGAACACAATTAAACGTTTGAAACAACACGAGCCTGCGACAGCAGTTCCTATGGAGCCTTTAACAGACTCGCTGGAAGAAAACTCCTAAAAACAGAACAAAACCAAACCAAACCAAACCACACACAAAATAACCACACCAACAGAAACCTAACCGTTCAAACTCTGTGAAATTACCTGTTCATCACCCTTGTAAGTAAAAGACTGAGAAAACTACAAGAAGGACAGAACAGTTTATAAATGTCCATGGGTTTTCCTATATAAAAGCAAAACAAAAAATACACAACACTGTGTGTGTGTGTGTGTTGTAGAATTAGTTCCAAAAGAAAGAAAAAGCCAGTTTTTTTAAATGGACTTAAAGTAAACCAAATAACTGCTTACTTTTTTTCTGTATATTATGAAAATGTGAACACATTTTAAGGAAAAACAAAACAAAAAAAAACAAAAAAAGAAAAAAAAACTTTTATCTGTTTAAAAGAGAATACAAGCCTGCCACCTGGAGGAGTGATTGTAGCCTTTCAGGTATCAAGTGCTGATTCACTATGAAAACTATTAACCAAAGTCAGAAACATGGCATTGCAAACTAGATTGTTAGTCTACTCCTTTATGAGTGTAAAATTGTGTTACGAGTTTTTACATTTGTATTTTACAAAAATGAAGACAACAAGATTAATTTCTGTCATCCTTGTTTGCACCCCCTGCAGGTGTGTAGAAACAGATGTTAAAGCCATTCCATAGTGGTCACCTCCTTTTCTTTTTTAATTTGCTTTGCTTTGCTTTGCTTTGCTTTGCTTTGCTTTGCTTTTTGTCAACAGTTTTACAATCTCCAAGTGTTTGGGTGCCAAAAATAATTTATTTTTATTGTGATTTGTGTGGGATTTGATATTTCTCTTCTAAGGGTGTAAGTCTTGGTTTGCATTTCTAGCTTTGATTTTTTTCTAACTCCCTTTGCTGCATCCCCCCTCCCAGCTCATTCTGTACCCCTTCCCTTCACCCACATACCCCAGTACTGTTTGAAGATTTTTAAAAAGAAGAGTGAAACCTAAACACTTTTATACTGATATGCTGAAATGCAATAGAGGACAAAGAAGGATTAGGATTGTGTCTGATGAACTGTCAGCCCACGCTGAACATTGTGCTTATTGTCGACTGCGTAGCTTGGGATTTCTCTGTCCTTTGGCCACGAACCTGGAGAGGTTACCCAAACTCATTTTGTAGTATAAATATAAACTGCACACTTGGTTCAGTACTGCATCTATATTATGGTTCTGTTTGAAGCAATTTCTCTCCAAAGTCTGATAGCCAAAGAAATTTCTTGAGATTCTAGTGAAAGCAAAAGGACAGGCCAAGAAGTGATGAGGATGTTTGGATCGTAACATCACCGTGGACTGTTTCAATGGTAGCGCTTTGTTCCTTCTGCCTTTTTTTTGTCACTCTCATGTTGATGTTTGCCCTGTTGACTGCTACTCTTCAGTGGGAGGGTGGGTTTGTGGGCATGTTTGCTGTGATCACTGACGAAACTAAACAATCAGAATATAGGGAAACCATTGAATATCCTTTGGGAATAGTGAGGTGGGTCACCTGCATGATGTTTCAGGTGAGGAGATTTTCCTCTAAAGACAACTTATCTCTGTGGCTTCCTTTTTGATTGGAGAAGCATCTTCTAGAATATTATGGTCATTGGACCTGCAAAGGCAGCAAGGCTCAGAAAGAGGGAATGGTGTTGCAGGTCCTGGACGGGGTGTGGACTGACCCATGATGCCTACCTGCAGTTGTCATCCTCTGCTCAATTCTGCTCCAGCCTTTAGGGTTCAGCCCATTGTTAGGCTAGAAGCTACATCCTAATCAGGACTTTCCAAAAGCTAACTTTGGGGATTTTGGTTTGGCTCACTGTAGAGGTGGTTGGGAGTAAAATTCTGCTGGTATAACTCCTGATTACATTCCCTGACTTCAGGATGGTAGTACTGGATTTTTTGCTGGTCTACCTTGAACTTTGAAGGAGGCTTCTGAAGTACTGGAGCCTTCAAATAACACCTCTCTTTCAGAATTACATTTTCAAGAACTCAAGGCTATATTTAAAACTTAGTGAAAGAAAGGGATTCCCATTGATTTCACTGGGCTTTGAATCTGGCCCTCACTGTTTTATTAATGAGATTTGTCTTGTTCCATGAGGTATTTGCTGCATGACTGGTGAGTTTTAAGGCTTCAGAAACCATCATCTGTGCCCAAAACTGCATCTAAATGTGAGCACTCTCAAAGGTCAGAGCTGGAGAGCACTGAGGATCCAGTAGTCCAGGCTGGGCTCACATGCAGTGAATGCATTTTAGGCTTTAAATTTCAGCAGAACATATATAAGGATATTATCAGTATTGCTTTTATGAGGAGGAGAGTGAAAATTGTTATTGACTCTTTTCCAAGTGTTGACATATAAATATCTGCTGGGGGAAAAAATCTCAGTAACCACAGATAAATTTTGTGAGGGGAGAAAAAAGACCCGTTACCCAAGCTGTGCATGTGAAATGAACGAAGAGGGAGAATCGCGCAGCGCAACATCTACCCCTCTGGGTTTTCTTTTTCACTCTATATCCATAGATACCTGTATCTATGGGTATATCTAATCTAACGGAGCTAAATATCTGTTAGGTATGTTAGGTATTTCTGTACCTAACACAGCTAAATTTGTAGCCACAATTCAATTTATGTTATGATCAGGAGATCACGCAGAAGCCAGCAGGGAAGCAGGGAAGACGGTATTTGGAAGTGAGCACTCCTGAAGTCCCACCCCTGGCACTCCAGTAGGCTGCCAGTTGTCCAGTCGCTAATGCCCAAGACATGATTACCTGTTCAGCCGCCCTTGAAACCACATGCCTCCCCCCGCCATCATCCACCACCTGGGAACAAAACACTCAGCAACTCTTTGCCTAGAAACTAAATTTCTGATTCTCCCAGGAACTGCTCTAAATTTTGCGAAGAAAAACTCTCCGAGAAGAAAAGTTACCCAAACAGTGTATGAAAGATGCTAAATGTTTAAAAATATGCTGGCAGCAGTTACATAAGCTCTTTCTGTTCCAAAGTACCTATTGGAAGGATATAACTAGGACAGTGAAAATGTAAAATAAATATAAATTGCCAGCTTGGAAGAAAAAATGATGTTCATCCCACAGTCTTAAAACCATTCATGTGCAGTGATTTTTTTTAACAGTTTTCTAATTTTGTATTTTGTTTTGTAAATTATTTATAAAGTGTTGTAATGCTGCTTATATTAATTTTTTTATAAAAAAATTTTTGCTATGAGGCATAAATGGTGCCTGAACAGATTCTTAGGAAGATAAATTATGTGCGAGTCATACTTCTTTTGGGGGCATAAATATTTTTTTTATTTTGTTACTGGCAACATTTCTGGTTTCCATTTGTAAACAGATTTCATGTATTGATTACATTTGAATACCTTTTAATTTTGCATGTGACTAAAAGATAGATTGCTACCAGCAAATGAAACATAAGTCTCTTCAATCATATGTGAAGGTATAATGGTTTTCCAATTTATTGATCATTGAATTTTTTTAAATATATATATATATATATATATAAATGGTTCCAGTTTCTTTACATTACTGCCACAAAAAATAAAAAAAAACAAAAAAAAGAAAAAAGAGAGAACAAGAAAGCGAAAAGGAGCTAGGAAGGAACAAGTAGAGGCGTATCAAAGAACTCAAGCTATAACCAAAAAGAAATATGTAAAATGCCTTTGCTCGTCTTCTCAATGCTGGACCAAAGCTCAATGTATGTAGGTATATGCACATTGTATAGATATGGCTAAATGTTGCTGACAATCTTGCAATACTAAACTGTTACTATTTAAAAAAAAAGAAATACAAAAATAAAACTGTTCATCAGTGTTTTACCTCAGCACTCTACTTGTACCCAGTTATTGACCAACATTCAAATAAGAAGATAAGAGAGGAAATTGATTTCCATGTCAATGTTTGACTGTAAAATCTGTTTGGATAACATTTTGTAATGAGCTTTTTGTCATGTGGTTTGCTTGTTTCCAACTTGAGATTATGTGGGGCACATTTGTTTATTTATTGTTAAAAAAACATTTTATTATTATTATTATTATTATTATTACTATTATTATTATTTTTGTCCTATGTGCTATAATCTACAGAATGGTCACCAGGGTCACTTATGAAGCACTGCAAAGAGATCTGTTTTTCCATGCATGGAGCATGCAGCAGGAAAGATGGCAGTATGAAATGGACTGTAATGTGTTGTTAAAAAAATGCTAATAATTGCAAAAGGAGTTGATATGGTGGACTTGTGACCAAGAAACAAACTGGATATTTAAAAGCTCCTTACTACTCTGACTTTGAAACCAAAGCTGATTTATCTGCACAGGTTGCTTAACATGAAAAAAATAAAAAAAATAAAAAAACTGACAAAAACTATACTTAATCTAGAGCAATATCTGTATGGTCAGTAAAGCTGCACTTTGTGTATTTCTTAACAGCTTCAGATCTGTCACTTTTAATTTGTACCATAAAAATAAAGAATTGTTTGACATGAAAAATAAGCTCCTTTCATGTGTTTCTCTTAAATCTCATGCATTATTCACATGATCAGAGCTCATGTAATTTCACATCAGTTCGATACAAAAATAGTTAAATGCTTGAAAGAAAGAAAGAAAGAAAAAAAATCTGTGTGCGCCACTGAACATCACTTTATCTGCAAAACTAAGCACCATCTCTGTATCCAAAGTGGGCATGTCCATTGGTGATATCTTATTTTCTCTACAGATATGCAGAGTAGAGGAACTGCCTAAGGATTAACGTGGAATCACTCAGGTGAGTGTGTATTATCCCCTAGGCAGAGGGAGGCAAAACACAGATGGATGTTAAGGCCAGAACCAGTGAATTTCCCAGTGCTTCCACAGCTCCCATAGCAAAGCCAGGTAAGTGAAGGAAAAAGAGTGTGGTAGTGAGCTTGGTTCACCCTTTCCATCTCAAAAGATTTTTTTTTGCACTTTTGCATAGACCAAAAGGTTCGTTCCTCCTTTTTTGCTGTGATTATGATATTAGGCATCAGAAA